TGCTTATATATTTGTACGTTTAATGGTATGCAACAACAATTATCTCACCACGTAGAGCGCTTTCAAAGTGCGATGAGGCAGTCAGTTGCTTTGCGATTGCACGTTCTGCAATTAAAGCTCTCCATCACACGACCACCAGCTGCATTCCCTGAGCAATTAAAATGTTTCCAACATCGTGATGCCAGAGGGGCTTCTTAGAAAAATCCCATCAGCAAAACACTTTCACGGTGCTCTCGAGCGTACGCGCCCACTGTTGCGCCGGTACAAACTCCCTCCACCTCATGTCCCACTGTGCCCTCCCTCAGAGCATGGCTAGTCTGACCCAAGAGCCAAGGTCAGGCTCTGGGATGTTTTTTTTGCTTTGAAGTTATCACGCGTTGAATAACCCACGTGTAGAAAGTGACACGCTTTTATGTTCTTGGCCGGGGCTGGGGGCGGGGCGGGGGGAGCGTTGGTATGCGTCGTCTCAAAAAGTGCGAACGCCATTCGTCCATTGAGTTAAACCATCAACTCCCGGACTAAATTAGCGCTGTGCCACGAACACCATCTGCATTGACGTCGTTCGCAAGAGTAGGCCATCGCGTGCCTGCGCCAGGATCTCAATTTTGTCAAGCTCGAAAAATTACACCGTAAATTACTAACTTGGGACTGTGCACAGCAATCATCGCCCCCTACTGGCAGACGAATGCCCCAGGTCACTCTTGCAAATTAGGCTATCCTGGTCTCTTGGGTTCTCACCTTGTTAAAGAAAATTAACTCGAAACGTGAGTAGGGATGCCGATATACAATCACACTCACAATGTACATTGATATTTTCTGTCGCATCACACCTGATCTGGCAGCATTTGGAATATGCATTGCCTCCAGAGTCATCGATACGCGTTCATGGAGGACAATTGATCAAGTGTCTACAATGACCGTGATGAATTTCCCACGGTCGCAAATTATCCACGATGACCACCATCACGGCCACCGGTGGCAGCAAAAATTAATATCCGCAAAACGATGCAAAGCTCGCTGACGGCAATGAGTGCGAGAATTGGACCCCTGCGTCAATATTCTTCATGTCAAATTTGATCGGGTGGACAACTGCAGGGAGTGGCCACTTGCCCACATTGCAAACTCACAACAGGTCGCTGTTGTCTGTTGCATTTCCCACTCCTGGGCTAAGGCCTCCCTCATTTCTTATTTTTTCCTTAATTTCTTTCATGAACGAATGCAGCAGATAAGGCCCCTCCTTCACATATCTGTCTCATCAGCCACAAGGCCCACTGAGAGTGCATAATTTCAGCAGCATGAGTTCAACTCAAGCGCACTCTGAACCGGTTTCAACTATGTTTCATCAGCAGTCGAGATTGTTTCAACCAATTTCTGTGAACTGCCAGTGGTTTATTGGCTAGGAGCCTTTTTGTTCGACGTGGGTGTCAGTTTAACGCAAAAAAACTATAATAAATACATGTCCTGCAGGTTCGAAGTTTAATTACGTCTCGCTGCAGCGGGTCGTCTAAAGCAAAACATAGCATGGCTCTCAAGGCACTGTGCAAGGAGCAGATACCATAAATACTGCATTGACCACGATGTGTAGATTCAAAAGCAAACTTTTGCGAGTGGGAAACTAAGCGAAGTGAATACTTTTATTTATTTATTTGTATGTGGAGACGTAGTGTATGCTTATCTATTCCACAACTTATATTCCCCATAGCAACACTAATAAGCATTCAGTTATGCATTACTACATATAATCTTGCGTGCAACTTTTTGGATGTAAATATTTTAAAGATAGAGTGCTTGCCTTTAACAGCTGGCCGTTCTCCAGCGCTGATTCAAGCAAGCCTGACCCTGCTAATGAGACACTGTATGTCAAAACCGGTCCAGATTTTGTTTGTATTGAATACATGCTGCTGAAACTATTCGCTCCCAGAATGCCTTGGGCAGATGGCTTGTGTGGTGAAGACTTTAAATGTATTATACGTGGGGAGATAGATATATGAAGGAGACATAGCCTGCGAATTTTGTTTAGTTAATTTAGGAACGTGGGACACTGTCCGACTGTTGTTTAGGGTTGCATGGGGATACAGGCTTCTCAGCCTGGAAGTGAAACCTCTTAATACATCCCAAAACCGAATTTCTGGCATGTACTATACCAATACTAATAGGTAAGGTAAGGTCCCCTGAGCTATATAGATCTTTTTCAGAAGCGATCTGGCCACAATGATAGCTCAAGTAAGTGGCTTATCACGTTGAAATTTCTAGCAGCCAAATACTCTAAACGCGTGATGTTGATTCTAGATGGAGGGAAAAAAAAAAAACGGTGGACCCGGAGAAAAATCCACACTACCACCGAGAGAACACACACACTCCATATATACAGGCGTCAGAGTTGGGATCGGACCCACGACCTCCTGTCGCGAGGCAGTTAACACTCTAGTCCCTCGTGTATTGAATATTCCACCAGGTACCCATCATATACAGAAAAGGTTAAAAGTGGCACTGCCAACGCAGAAACGTATCACGTTGTGAGGGCAAATCTCCCAATAGGATTCCCTGAGGGACAATCACTATTGAACAACACATCAGCATCCCTCCCTGGGTAACGATACATCACAGCAAATTCAAAGTGAGGCAGATCATTCCATGCCGTGCGGTTTTGAGTTCCACAGCCAATGGTCAGGGCCGGATTAAGGCACGGGGGCTTTAGGGGCTACAGCCCAGGGGCCTCCGACAGCTGGAGGGCCTCCAGAGATTAAGTGAAAAGTTATTTCACTTGTGAATACTCAATTTTATTTGTTGTTAGCCTTGTAAAAATACATTTTATTTTTCTTCAACTTTGTTTTTCTTTTGAAAATATGACTGGGGGCCTCACAGTACCTGTAGCCCAGGGGCCTAGAAAATCTTAATCCGGCCCTGCCAATGGTCAACGTAACGAATGCCTTGCCTGGAAGGCAGAGTCATCGTGCACACCTTAATGCAGGAGAATTGCAGAGCTCAAGAACGCTGCCACTGGGACGTAACGGACAGCACGCTGGACTTGCAATCCATAGACCGCCCGTTTGATTCAATCTCCTGGCGAGGGAGTTGAAAGAATGGGCACATTTTATAAAATCCAACCCCCCTCTCTCACCCCCCCCCCCCCCCCACCTATTCCACCTCCTCTGTTCACCCGGCAGGAACATTACCGCTTGTCAAGCGCGGTAGGGTAAAGCGTGGGTAAAACCCTCGCCTCTTCGAAGATGTCTTTCCAGCGTGGGAGAGCAGCAGCAGAGATACCGTCTCGAGCGGCGTTCCTCATTGCAAGGCCCACCAGGCCACTGGTGGCCTTTAGTGCGCCACCTGACCAGCGGCTCTCCGACAATACACAAAGAATGAAAACACCCCCATAATCAGCGTGCTGCTGTCAAAACCCCCCAATGGTTTCAAATGTGTGGCGATCTTCGGACTGATGATGTCTTATCGACGAAAGTAGCCCCCTCCCCCCTCTGAAAATGAGTGAAGGACGCTGCACGAGAGGGGCTTTCTAAACCCCTTCCGCCGGCGCTCAAAGTGGGAAACAATTGTAGGGCTCCACCTCAACCGTGTTACCGTTTCAGAGCTCGGAACGTGTTGGGAGGTTCTACACGCGACACATAAACACGTCGGTAAGCCTGACGCTGCAACGGCAAAATGTTACAATTTCCTCTTGAAACAAAAATGACCCATGATCAATCCTGCGCAGAAATTGTGCGCCCATAAAGAGTACAATCAAGGCAGTGGTTTAAGACTAAACCCAGCGAAACCTGGATCGACTGGTAATAAATGACTTAATTGCCAGTGCTGATCTTTTTTTAAAATTAAATATATATTTTAAAAGTTGCATCAATCTATTTACACTTCCACCCAAGGCTATCACTGGGCCTCGAGCCTCAACAATTTGACACCGTGGCTATCGACTGTAGCGCTACACTTGGTCGATTTCAGAGGTTGATTCGCGCGGATCATTTGTCTTGGCAGCAACTCTCAATAGAATCGCAAGCTTCCTCTCGCTAATGCGAGCAGCGCACTGTATTGGCCTGTGCAATGAAGGGTTTGCCACACGTCGCTGCGTTTTCGTTGTGCGCATGTGGTAAAGCGCAACACCGTTGAATTTCGTTTTTTTTTTCTCGTGTGGGCAACCTGTTCAGCTGTCTTGATCGTATACGGTACGAATTGGGGGCATCAGTAAATAACAATGTGGCATTATTTAATGACCGGATGCTGCCGTGTTGTGTTGCAATCCGGAGGTTGAGAGGTTTGACCTCCCGGCGTGGCAGTTGAAGTAATGTGGCAGGTGTCCTGAGTCCTCCAGTCCGTGTCCACGTGTGGAATAAATACACCACAGGCAGTCGATTGGCAGGTAGAATATTCTGCTGCACAGACTAGAATAATTTCCTTGTTGGTACCACCTGAGAGGGCGCAACTTGGGTTCTGCATACATCTTTACTTTCATTAGCCATGTACACCGACTGATATCACTCAATATTTACCACCCCCACTGATATCGAATTCTGCTCGAGCTCACGAACTATGGTGAAGTGCAGTGTGGGTATTCTCACCTTTCCAAGACATCTTACCAGGCCTTCTGGAGGGATTTCCTTAACTAGAGGCTGGTGATCTATTGCAAGCAGATCCTTTGTTGCATATACAAAACATTGAAACGAGTGTGCCATAAAGTAGGACGCCACGAACATACTCGAGTTTGCAGATAATGCAAACTTCGAGCTGACACCAACAACTGACCAAGCTCTGCGGTCCTCTACACATTAAGGTGTTATCGGCCAAATAATGAGTGCTTCACATGTTGCAGGAAACCGGAGATCTGAGAGCTTTCGATTCCCACGTGCTTGCAACCGCAACGAGTCACCGAGTGGGAGCGATCCCTGCCACTGTGCACACGAGACCAACGCAGGATAGAGTGCGCACCCGCGCCGTTTACACTCACGACTTGATTTGGATGCCATTCCTTTCCCCCACCTCTCCGACGCCAGATTCACCTGGCGTTGCAGTTCAGCACAGGCCGACCGAGCCCGTCCTCCGAGGAGCTAAGCTTCATCCTCTCGCTGTTCGCCATGCTCCTGTCGCCCCTGCTCATCCTGTCCCGCAAGTGGCTGCACCTGCCGTGCGGCTGCATCATCAACTGCCACCGCAACACCTACGCGATGAACCAGGAGATCGACAAGGGTGAGCGACGGCAGCACCTGACCAACATCTTCTCTGTGCGTGCGTGTCCCTCTGTCTGTCAGTCTCCGTCTCGTAACCCTTTCATCTGATTCCAGTCCGATGACGTACCTGTACGTCACTGTACTGGAATCAATGGCGCTACGTACGTGAAAAACAACGGCGCTACGCACGTGTACGTCATAAAAACGAAACCGGAAGAAAAATTGTATCAACTTAATCGGTACTGAGGCTCGCACAGGGCCATGAGGGAGGGCGTGTGGCACAGTTTGGAGCCGGCTATCATAGAGTGCAGCGGTCGTGTCGCTACAGTTCTCTGCGGTGAGTAACAACGTCTTTAAAAACAACGGCGCTACGCCTCTCTAAATAAAATGTATGCTGAGGCCGCTTGCGCATTCTGAGATTCAGAGGTAAATGGGACTCACACCCTGCAACTTGCAGACATCTCGGAACGGGAAAGGGTTATGTTATCCCGTAAAGAACACCTGGACAAGCCTTGTTTTGAATCGATTTTAGACGTTAGAGATAAAGATAATGATTCACATTGTTTAAATGCGACAGCAGCTCAAGGCACCTCGCGTCACATCTCGGCCATTCCATTGTGCTGATGGTAGCGCAGCCAAGGGGACTTCCCGGTGGCAGCTATCGCTGGGTGCAGTGGTGTGTGACGTGTTTTTTTTTCGCAATCAAGAAATACGTGAGCAAGTTATATTATTTTTCATGCCATAACCCTGGGACCCGTGCCCTACTCTTATTCTCATACCATCACGGGATCTGTAGCATTCGTTGAAGCAGACGGCACGTATTGACGGTCAATACACTCCGATTATTAACTAGGGTGGCCAATGGGCCTGACTCACAAACCCCTGCTACGTGCGGCGAACAGATAATATTACCGTTGCGTTGTTTTGCTAACAGTAGAAGTATAAGCAATCCACCAAACATCACCAGAAGAGTTTCGCTTTCTAAAATTAAAGATTTTTTTAAGGGCATGACCTGACGTCGAAATTTGCCAAATATTTAATTGATTGTGCGTCATTGCTCCCGAGTGGCATCTATTGACACGTGTATGAAATACGATAGCTTAAAAATCGATATCATCATCGTCGTCGTGCTAATATTGATTTATCGAAATGTGTTTGTCTGTAATTCATTCAACGTTTAACCCGAGGACTAAGAGTGGGTCGAGGATGAGACCCTGTGTACACATCAGTCCTCGTGGCTATTTTGTGACCACAGCAGTCACACCTTTAATGGCTCCATACTTCACGTGTTCTGTTTTATTTTCACATCGGTGAGTATGTACTACCTGTTATGACATACGGTCGAGAAACTTGATAATCGGCAAAACAAAAAAAGGTGAGCAAAAAACTGAACGGTCAGCAAAAGGAACACCGAGAGATGCATACTTGGAACGACCAATGAAGAGACGTGAAGAGGAAGAACACATGGGTCAGGGAGTATACGGAGGTTATTGACATCTTCCAAGCTTTGAAGAAATGTAAGTGGGCTTGACACAGGATGCGTCGTTCGAAGACATGATGACTGATGGTTGGGAATAGTGACGGGTTGGCAGTCAAGGAAGGGGAGGGACTCCGAGCGTACCCTCTGAATAGGAAAGGGAGTGGTCAAATTAGCTCGCGCGCAGGTGCTGGGTAGCCTGTTTACATCGCAGAAGCGTGAGACATCAGCGCGGTTGGCTACGTCCAGTGCGGAAAAAGTTCAATACACATACATAGGCTACGTACGGTGCGAAATAAGTTCAACGCACGTACATGGGCAACGTACAGCGTGAAAGAAGTTCAACATACAGAGATGGCAACAGCCCGAGAAGGCATTTATTTGCCTAAATAAATGATTACTATACTAAGTCAAGTAAAAGTGACTTAAGAATAGGTTTTACCCTTATTTGGCAATAAAACATGTGTTGAGATGTTCAAACACCAAATAGATATATTTTGCAAGGCAACAAGTCTGCACTAACCACACGTACGTGAACGTGCAAACAAAACATGCTCTGATAATATATGCATTGTCTTTTAAACTGATTGGCCTACACCAGAGACATCCTTCTTCATGGCCGAGCCAAAACGCGAACAGTTTAGTTTCCAGAAAAGATAAAAACCTATTCTCATTTTTAATACTTTGATGCTGGCAACAAAGGTCCCATGATTAAAGTAACTTCAATGCCCAAACAGGCAAAGGCAGTGAGGGGGTGTATCTACATCGGCAGGCGTGCGTGCGTAATGTTCCGACCGATACTTTGAGCACAAGTCAAATTTAAGACGAAGGCCGACAAAATGCAAGATGCGCACGCAAAAAAAAATATCAAGCACGGGGCACAGCCGTCAATGACGATGTATCCAGTGGCGCAAGGAATCAATCGGAATAGCGTGGAATCGATGTACATCTGTATGCACAGACCATGAAGTATCGTGACTGCAACAACAACAAAATCGTTGCCTCGTTGTTCGTGGGACACTTTACCTACATTGCTCTGCAACATTTGCAAACATCAGCAGCTTTCTGCCGACATCGAATAAACCATGCTGGTCCTAATCTGCGAAATGTTTGTTGAGAACAAGTGTGAATCAAATAATACAGATAAGGTATCCCAATTGTGCTATCGGTGTCATGTCATGATAGCGCCCTTACGAAGCAATACATCCACCCCCTCTCCTCCCCGCTGTTATAACCACCCAACGGGAAACGGATATCAGAGAACTGCTTCATACATTTATTCACGTAGTTTTGTCATGCAATCATTGGTGACCGGGCTGAGACCATCAATTCACCACACTTTGAGAGTCCAGTTAAATCACAGGTGGTGGTGGGCGGTTTGGATCTGAGCCCCATGATCACAGTGGTGCCAGCTTGTCACTCTTGACCTCTGAGCCACCGAGTGACCTTGAGTACTGCTTGACACACAGGATTTCGCCACCAATATTACACATAAGAGGTTTTTTTCTTGGGTGGAATCGAATTATAAATATTGTGGGTTTACTCTCCAATACACCGGCGTGCTGAACTAGTAACCAAATTGGCACGTTTTGTTTACATAATAAACTTACTAATTGCCTGTGTTGCGTGGTGGCGGGTTAAGCGACACATTCATATTCACGCGAGTAAATTAATTATAATGACAATGTGGGAATATTTACGAGTAAACCACTCTGTGCCATCGCTATAAACTACATCTCAAAATTTGAAATGTACCAGTAAGTAAGCCGTGACGATATAATGTCGATGGAAAATGTATATTTTTCGCAGGACTCATTCAGTGAATAATGAAAGCTTAGCTGTAGGTCGCCACACGAAGCAGAACAAACAGAGCACGCGTGGAAATCAAACTAAACGCGTCACCACGCTCCAGTGAGTACTGGGACGGCGTAATCTCCATTGGTGACCCACAGCCAAAGGCCCGAACTGTAAAACTAATAATAACAAGGCTGGGATAACACCCGTGCCGCGCTTCCACTGTGTCTCCTAGCAGGACAGAGCGTGGCGCTGGGCATCGACCTCTCCTTCCACAAGGGCTACGAGATGTACCGAGCCGACCACATCTCTCCCAAGAAGTACTTCTTCAACAACGACAAGGTCAACATCCTGCCCAACCAATCGGCCAAGGACTCGGAGAAGGCCAGCTGCGGCGTCGGCGGCATCGGCGGCGTCGGCGTCGGCACCGGCACGGGCACCGCCGCCCCACACCGATCCCAGCCGGCCCGGGTGGAGGTAGCCCCGGTGCCCAAGTCGCAGGCGGTGAACGCCGAGGCGTCGCCGCCGCGCTACGCCCAGCCGTGCGACTTCCGCGACGAGGTGTCGGCGATGTTTGGTGGGCAGACGCAGAAACGCTTCGGGGGCAGGGAGGGCCGCCGCTCCGAGAGCGGCGCCGACGGCCTCCACGGGGACCGCACCACGCGCAGCGGCCTCTACCTGCACGACGGCCTCCACTCGGACGGCCTCGAGTGGGAGTGGTGCCGCAGCAAGTCGGAGCGCACGCCGCGACAGGCAAGGACCCCGCGCCATCGCGCTCAAGCAGATCGCTGCACTTTCTCTAGGGGCGAGATGTTAACTACCTCGCCCGGTATACAGGAGGTCGTGGGTTCGATGCCTAACCCCCCCCGACGCGTGTTGTATATTTGGAGTTTGCGTATTCTCTTTCTCTCTCTCTCTCATCGTGGTCGCGTGTGGATTTTTCTCCGGATCCTCCGGTTTTCCTTCACATTTAGAATCGACGTGCATTTCAGGTATTTGGCCGCTATAAAAGTCCACGCGATAAGCCACAGTGTTGAGCTGTCATTTGTGGTCAGGTCGCCTCTGAAAAGATATATAGCTCATTGAGCTTTACCTGGTCAAATAAAAAAGTTGTTTTTCCTTTGTCGCTGTGCCATTGACAAGGCAGCGAGGACGCTTTGGTAGTTCAACACGGTCGATGTTACATCAACTTTAAATGGACTCTAACTGCGAAGACGAATAAATAACGGTAACTGTATATCACCGTTACGGTAATGTACAGTTACCGAAAGACCCAAATAATATGAATTCCTGCGGTCACGAAAGCTTTAAGTCAAGATTTAACTCAACATTATTGTTACCATACGTTACCATTACTGTGCGTTACCTTTACTTTAGCCCATAATTGTAGGTCACCGTAACTTTAGGGTAAAGTTGTTGTCTATCATGCATTTAACGCCAGACCATTCATACTCTTGGTTCTTTCGGTAAAGTCACGTAGAAGGGAAATAATAAAAATAAAACAATACAATTCTCACGACGTTTCGATTGCAACACAAGCAATCATCATCAGTTGTGAAAAACCACAGCAAGAAATTTTGAAAAAAAGTGGCGTGCAGGTAAACAAAACGTCGCGAGAATTGTATTGTTTTACTTGTATTATTTTATTATTTCCCTTCTACGTGACTTTACCGAAAGAACCAAGAATATGAATCCCTGCAGTCACGAAAGCTTTAAATCGCAAAATAAAAATCCAGACCATTCATTCACTTATTAAGTTGTTGAGCCAGCTGGCCAGGATTGGGAAAAACACCTCGCCCACTTTTCATCCAGGCAACTGGAGATCATACTGTAGACTCAGTGTTATTGGCCTGACATTTAAGCTCACTGATATAATTTCCAGAATTATTCTGCTGGAGCGAATGTTTTTTTTCTTCTTCTTTTAATGCACAACACATTGGGAGAATATTATTAGCAAACCTTCACCAGTTAAATGCATTGGGATGTCGCCATGGTGGAACGGCACACTGGCCTCACAATCCATAGGTCGCCGGATCGATCCGATCTCCCAGTATTTCAGTTGAATCAATGGGATAATTTATAAAATCCTTCCACCTCTGTGTCCAGGTTAATTCGAAAAAAAAACCTAATAGCTAGTGGGCTTTACCTGATAATATATTACTGATTTGCTTAGCTGTCCTATACTTTACATTCCTATTGTTTTTTTTATTGTTTGTTGTTGTAACTTTCTGACCCGCCCTTACTCGACATCTGTGAAAAAGAGCTTCACGGCTCATCGGAATCCTCCAGTGTCAATAAATATTCTGATTCTGTTATGTGGGTACGCAACAATTAGTCAAGAGGCAGGTCACGTGTGGCGGGGTAAAGTGTGGGTACTCTCAAGCTCTGGGCAGCATGGAAGAGTAGGCCAAATCCCTCGAGAGGGGCCCTCTAGAGTTTCATCTTGCGTAGGCCCTTCTGCCAGCAGTGGCATGAGCTAGCAATTCAGTGGCTGTACCTTTGCCTTTTTATATACATTGAATCTGTTTGGATAAGATTGTTGACACGTCGTCAAAGGGAGCGTAGGGAACTGCTGCACACGCTGCACTTTTGTCGTCAGTATTACAGTTTGGCTGAACGTAGAATATTTTACTCGTTCACGTTTTCAGTGAGGTTCCTACTGTCACTTGACAAAATGACAACAATAATATCCTTTATAATTGTTTAACCACGACGCCCGCATCGCTATGTTCACCTGCCTCAATTAATTACATTTAACAATTATATTATGCGTAACTTTTTGGTGACTGGCAGCTGAAACGGTGGCAGAGAATTAAAAACGGCAACACAGTTATTAGAGACGATGACATGAGACTTTAATTAACCTGAACATTTTGGATTGTGCATGTAAGTTCCTCACATTAGCTGCTGTGGTGCCACAACGGAACTTTCCCATTAACAACAAATACACCTTTTCCAAGACAGAATACACTGCAGTCTGATGTTTTAACCGCCTTGTTTGTAAGTTAAAACACTTCAAAAGTAGCCAGGCAGATATGCTAAGCAGATATAGAAATACCTGTTGCACGTATGATCTGACATTCTTACTGCAGCCAGTCTGTTTATGACCGACCATTTCTTCTTTCCCGCAATCAGACCCCTGCTTTGTTCAATGGATGCGTATAGATTGCAGTGGTAGTGGGGAAAAAAAGGGCTTTTGGCTGAAGCTCAAAATAGATCGAGTTGCTGTGATAACTTTTTCTTGAGCCAGGCTGCGACCATCCGCTCAAACGTGAGCAAACGTCCCCGAGTGACACTGCCCAGTGACTCGTCGGGTCTCAGGAGTTAAGTACTCGGATGGCAGGCTGCCTGCACACATCACATGTTGTTAGGGTTTGGACTGCAAGGACGCGACAACCAGAGGCAGAACTGTGATCCCATGAGTGCATATGTGTCGGAGCGGAGCTCCGAGTGACATTCCCCGTGTATGCGCGGACTTCCTCGATTGTTCGCGTTTCCTCTGGCGTCACGAACACTTGCAATCGATCAATGATGCGCGTGGGTTTTCCGGGATAAATATAGGTAAAGGTGCAGCCCTGCTATTACCTGCCCATGTCACTGCTGGTGGAAGAATTGTCTCCACTAGAGGGAGCTCTTTTTGTCACATGGCATATTCTTTCAAACTGGCCAGACGAAATGTTGGATAAGCGTATAGGTAGCTAAAATATTTTTTTCATCAGAATCAGAATTTAGTTTTTGTTATCCTGGAAGAATCCGATGAGCTAAGAAGCTATTTTTTCACAGATGCCTGGAAGGGGCGGGTCAGAGAGTTACAACAACAAACAATTCAACAATACAACAATAAAATGATAGCAGTGCGACATAGAGAAAAAGATGGTCAAGTTACTAAAAATAAATATGTACAAATAAATAAAATATTTAAAGACAAATTGCATAAGGACATACATTCCTGCCAATTTTTCAACACTAAATGCAATCTTGGGAAAGGCAGCAAAACAACAACAACAACAACAGTCCCAGACCACACCAAGACAACAACACACAGTCCCTCAATAAAATTGCACGTTAAAATCTATCGATACACCGGTAATGATCAAAGTTACAAATCACATTTGTGAATGTTATTTTATAATCTATATAACCAGCCTACAAACGGAACACTTATTTGGCATTCCGTCCACCACGGAGATGGAGCACTTATTTGGCAGTGCGTCCACCGCGGAGATGGAGCACTTATTTGGCAGTGCGTCCACCGCGGAGATGGATCACTTATTTGGCAGTGCGTACACCACGGAGATGGAGCACTTATTTGGCAGTACGTCCACCACGGAGATAGAGCACGGTGGATTGTTACATCACGGAACTGTGAGAGATGGTCACAGGTTGGGGACCCCTTCATCCAGCAGTGGATTGACCATGGCCGATGATGAGGATATTAAACTATTTTAATTTTACCAGCTAAGGTCCGCTATGTAGCAATTTTTTTTATAAGCAACCTGGCCACAAATGAATGCTCAACGAAGTGGCTTAGCAACACGTGGACATTTATAGCAGCAGCCAAGTGCTCAAAACGCGTGTTTCTAAATGTGGAGGGGAAAACCGGAGGGAAACGCTGAAACTGCTTCTCGTTCACCAAAGTGTGTGTGTGTGTGTGTGAAATTAAATATACAGCAGGCATCAGGGTCGGGATCGAACCCACGACCTCTTGAATACCAGGCGAGGTAGTTAACATCTCGCCACCGCGGCGCCCAGTGTCTCAGTGTTTATTAAAACAAACCTATAAGGGTTTGGCCCCTCAACCACCAAGACCGCCTGGTACCATTAATTCTGTATGCGGAATCCGGGTTCCGCTGGATTGGCACTTCTATCGGTCTCACGAGACCGACTCAAAAAGATCAGAGATTACATGTTCTAGGTGAATTGCCAAGACTTTGGAACTCCCTCCCGGCAAAGATGCACCTCACACGTACTCTGCTGGGCTTTAGGGAAACGATGAAAGGGCTTCTCGTTCACCAAAGTGTGTGTGTGTGAAATGAAAGCTGCTGTTATATAAATAATGTAAGGGGCTCCGAGACCTAGGAGGGAAAATGTGCCATGTAAAAACAGTAACAGCAAAGTATATATTTTCTTTTTCACGCGTGTTGGGGTTGTACCGCATATTGTTGGGCAACTTGTCCACGTGCTGGAAGCTTCTTCAGAAACTGAGCCAATAAGTGAATGTTGAAGCTTCCGGCACGTGGCACTAAGAAACGTCGGACATTGTGCCAAACAACGTTTCAAGTTTGCATTTATTTAATGTATTAGGTATAGCCCTGTGAGCCATGCGGCTGTTGAGTCGGGTGCAACCACAACAAACAAAATATGAACAGAGAACATGTTAAAGCGACGACGCGCAACAGAAACATCCTGGGATAAACCAGCAAATCTTACAGAAAAAAACCCCACCGTATTACAACGCTGTGTGCAAAAATCCCAGTGTGTGATGCAAGTCAAACAATAACAACCACTAGACTATTCAGATTAAAGTTATCAGGCCAACTCCGCACGTCCGCAAGAAGCATGGCTTTTGCCACCTTGCCCCCTGAGTGCAGCTATCACGCAGCTCAGCAGGCAGTCTCAACGTGCGGCACGACTCGAAAAACGACGCACACACAGACAGACACACAACAACAACAACAACAACCGCCATTCGCCACTAAGTGGCGGTGACGTCACCACGACGCTTGTGCCAGGCTATGTGCACCCTGAGGCCACGTGAAGTGTCGAACGCCCGCTGGCAGGAGGTCACGGGGCAGACCCAGGTGCCACGGGTCGACTGACTGAGATGACTGGCTGATGCACCACCTGTGCCCCCTACTGTGCCAACCTGCTGTGCTTTAGCCACCCGGCGCTCCGCTCGCTGTTGTGAGCGTCGCTCCTCCGCCCTCCGTTGTTGTTGGAGGGCGACTGCCTCCAACTGCCCAGTAGCATCCTTCACGAGCCTCCTCCACAGAGGCCGATCTTGACACCGCTGGTACCAGTCATCGGCAAGTCCACTCAGCTCCACGTCCTCCTGTACCACATCACTCCATCTCTTCTCTAGCCCGTGCCGCGCCCGCTTAGCCCCCTCAATCCGGCCAAACAAAAGCTGTTTCGGCATGCGGTGGCTGGGCATGCAGGCTACATGACCCAGCCATCGCAGCCTTGCCTGCCGGAGGAGCTCACCGATGGGACCCTGCCCAGATCTTTCAAGGATTTGTGAGCTCCTCACACAATCCAGTCTGGTTAAACCCAGGATGGATCGTAGGCAGGTCAGCCTAAATGTTTCTAACCGGCGAAGATGTTCCATTAGGGGGGTCCACGTTTCGCAAGCGTAGAGAAGGGAGGGAATGACCGTGGCCGAGAAGACCTGAAGCTTAGTGCGGAGCGACAGACCAGGTAGCTTCCACACAGCGTTACGCAACCGATGAAAAGATATTGCCGCTCGACTGATTCGGAGTGAGACCTCTGCTGTTAAACTGGAGCCAGTCATAAGCACACTGCCCAGGTATGGGAAACTCTCCACTCTCTCCACAACTGCCCCATCACCGATTGGGAGTTGTGGGGGCGGAGTGTCCGATGGTACAAAATACCCAGGCAGGTGCTTAGTTTTGGTGGGGCTGATGGTAAGGCCCCACCTCTTAGTGGCACGCTCCAGTCTCAGCAGCAGCGTCTCCAACTCCTCCTCTGACTGAGCAGCTATTACCAAGTCATCAGCATACATAACGTGGTTGAGCAATAGGGAGCCATCCCTTGACCGCACCCGGGCATCGATTAGCCTCCCATTATATCTGTACCATATGGAGATTCCCCCGGTACAGCTATTGAAGGCTTCACGAACTACGTGGTCAAAATAGATGTTAAATAATGTGGGAGCCAGAGGACATCCCTGTCGCACCCCAAGGTGTACAGGGAATGGCTCTGACTCCCGGCCACGTAGTTTTACCCGGGCCCGCTCACCATCATGAAGGTCCTTAATGATCGTGAGCAGAGGGTCAGGTACTCCAAAAGCACGAAGAACGACCCAGAGCCCAGGCCTACTGATGGTATCATAGGCCTTGACCAGGTCAATAAAGCAGAGATGTAGGTCTTGTTGGAATTCCCTACACCTCTGCTGTAGCAGACGGACAGAAAATATGGCATCTGTGCAGGACCGCCCTTTCCTGAAACCGCATTGGGGCTCCGCAAGCCTCTCCTCAGCGTGCCTGGCAAGGCGATGCTGAATAATCCTTGCCAGGACCTTTCCCGGCACACTGAGGAGTGAGATGCCCCTGTAGTTGTTACAGTCTGTGCGGTCCCCCTTCTTAAAAAGGGGGACCACCAGGGCATCCTTCCAATCCTGCGGAACCCGTCCAGTGGTCCAGACTGTTGTTATGATGTCATATAGGGCAGTCTGTGCACAAACGCCACCCTCCCTCAGCATTTCGCTTGGGAGATCATCTCTGCCCGCTGCCTTTCCTGGTCTCAGACTCCGGATCGCCTTCAATACTTCCTCAGCAGATGGCACCTCAGCCAGCCACTCACAGGGGGTGACTTCATCCAATATTTGAGGCACCGCAGCCTCAGCAGGGTCATCCTCACTTTGTGCCACGATGTTTTCCTGGCTGTGGGATTTTCCCTCCCCCAGGACCTCACAGAAATGCTCAGCAAATCTGCGAACCTGTTCCTGGGGGTCGGAAATTGGATCACCGTTTTTTCCCCTAATGATGGTAATAGGTGTGGCGCTGCAGGTTACTTTTTTGATGGAGTTAAATAGCGATTTGTGATCACGGGCCACTGAGGCAGACTCCATCTCCTCAGCAACCCGCGACCACCACCCATCCTTGCAGCGCCTCACGGCTCTCCGAACCTCCGAGCGAAGGCTGCGGTAAGCCTCCTCATTCTCTGACGTGGGATTCTGTAGCCGATGACAGTGGGCCTGTCGCTTTTTCTCAACCATCCTGAACAACTCCTCTGTCATCCAGGGTGTCTGGGGAGGTCTGGACCGCGTACCCAAAGCAGCCATTGCAGCTGCATGAGTCACAGTCCTAAACCTCGCCCATTTACCCTCGACATCAGGAGGAGTCGGGGACGATGCCAATCCCAGCCGCAAGCGATGATGAAATTCTCGCTTGCAACTTTCATCAGATAACTGAGACCAGGCCACTTTAGGTTGGAATGGGGTCCTGGGTGTACACCCACCACCGGAGTGGAAGAATGGCAGGCGCATCTTACAGATGACTAGTCGATGGTCAGAGGGCAGATCAGCTCCACGGTAGGTCCTGGTGTCAAGGACATGGGCTCGCATTCGCTGGTCCGTCACTATGTAGTCCAGCAGATGTTCTTGCTTGGACCCGGCATGCATCCATGATGTTGTGTGGATGCGCCGATGCCGGAACAGCGTGTTGGTAATTACAAGCCCATGGGCTGCACAAAAATCTAGCAGCCTCCTACCGTTGTTATTGAGCTGATCTGGCCCATGCCCTCCAATCACTCCAGACCAGGTGCCAGTATCATGACCAACTCGGGCATTGAAGTCACCCAGCATGATGACTCTATCCCGAGGGGCCACTTTAGCCAGCACCTGTGACAGGAGGTCATAGAAGGCATCTGACTCATCGGCTTTGCCTGCATCCCTCCACGGATGTTCATCTTCGGTGGGGGCATAAGTAACCACGACCACCATTCCTCGCCTCCGGTTGATGGGAAGGCGAGCCCAAAGTAGCCTGGGGCTTACAGCTTCCCACACCTCACCGCCACGCTCCCATGCCCCCTTCATTCTTTTGTTCAAAAGAAGACCCACACCCTGTTGTTTGGCAGTCTGCTGCCCCGAGTAGAGGACTGTCCACCCCTCATGGTGGCAGGAGCCAGAGCCGGTCCACCGGACCTCCTGAATGCCGCATAGATCCAGGCGGTACCGGTCCAGCTCCCGACAGAGGAGTGGCAGCCTCTCCTCTGCAGTGAGCGTTCGAACATTCCACGTGGCCACCCGTAGTGGCTTTTCGTTGTTTCTGGAGTAGCCCCGAGGGTAGGTATTCAATCTCCTGGCTCCGCCAATTGGGGTTTGGCCAGGAGACGTCATAGACGCCTGGCCCCCCGGGGCCTCCGGCACAAGCTTAGTTGTTACATATTTCACTTTAATTCGTGGTTTTGTGGTAATTAATTGAAGGTGGAGGGGTTACCAGCCCCTCGCACCCGTCCAGAGCCCCCGTTTAGCCCCTGTGGTGGACACATATGCCATGAGGGGAGGAGCCAATCAAAATTGGAACTCCCCCCACAGCACTGTCCACGACAGAGTTGCCCGTCCGTCACCGCGAGGAGGTAGGGGGTTGTTTTGCCGGACAGACAGACACACAGACACACACAGACACACAGACAGACGCACAGACAGACAGACACACAGACAGACACACACAGACAGACAGACACACAGACAGACACACAGACAGACAGACACACAGACAGACAAACAAACAGACACACACACAGACAGACACACAGACACACACACACACAGACAGACACACAGACAGACACACAGACACAGACACACACAGATACACAGACACACACAGACAGACACACAGACACACACACAGACACACAGACACACACACAGACAGATAGACACACAGACAGACAGACACACACACAGACACACAGACAGACAGACACACAGACACACAGACACACAGACACACAGAGAGACACACACACAGACACACACACAGACACACACACAGACACAGACAGGTATCCGGGGAGCTCTCCGCCGCTACTGTGACAACCTCCCCAATGCTGTCTGAGTATTTCTTCCTCCCCCCCCCCACCCTAATTTATAAACCACCCTCGCAAAAATAAAACCCAACCCCGTGTCTCTGCTCGCAGCGTCTGGGCGGCCTCTCGACCCCGCTGTGCGCCATCCAAGGCACGGTGTCGCTGCAGTCGCCCACCGGCAAGACGCTGTCGCTCTCCACCTACGAGATCAGCGGCGACGGCAAGCAAGCACTGCCCGTGCCGCGCAAGGTGGAGGTGTACCGCTCCAAGAGCGTCGGGCACCAGCCCAGCTCGGAGGGAGGCTGCGGCGGCGGCGGCGGCGGCGGCGGCGGCCTCGGCGACACCAACGTCAAGATCCACCTCGAGGTGCTGGAGATCTGCGACAACGGCGACAAGATGGACACGGTGTCCATCGTGAGCAACATCAGCCAGTCGTCGACGCGCGCGCGATCGCCCTCGCTGCGCTACTCGCGCAAGGAGAACCGCTTCGTGTCGGTGGACCTGGACGAGAGCGCCTCCTACTCGCTCTTCATCCCCTCCAACAGCCCCGAGAGCGACATCAACATCACCATCCCCGACACGGTGGAGGCGCACCGGCAGAACAGCCGCAAGGAGCGGCCGGACGACGGCGGCGGGTACAAGGAGGAGATCCAGCTGCTGAACCAGGTGTACCGCGAGCGGGAGAAGGGCGACGCCGCCACTTAGCCGAGATTCTTCTTATTCCTCCTCCGTCCGTCCGTCCGTCCGTGTGCTGGCGACGGTTGTTTTGTTTGTTGGCTTTTCAAACTCAAGTGTTGTTGTTGTTGTCGTCGTCGTCGTCGTGAGAACTAGACGCGAGGGTTGTTGAGCTACGTGGACGGCGCTGCACTCGCCGGTTGTGGAAGCCGTACGCGTTTTGAGTTTTTGTTATCACGATTGTTACGATTGTCACTATCGATCAGCATGTCCGTGTCGAAAGACGTCGTGGAAATGAAGGGAATGGTTTCAAAGAAGAAGAAAAAAACTTCCCAGAGAGAAAGTCCACGTTTGCTATGGTCGAGGAACAAGCCTCTACACAGGCCAGCAGGTGAAGAACACATCAACAATTTTTATCCACTGCAGAAAATCGATGGACCGGACTGGAACTCACGGCATTTTCCAACCGAGAGTCGGACGATTCGGCATCGCTGTTATAACGCTACGCGTATTAACGCGACCGTGATGGGGACGGAGCGTGGACGTGGCCGGGGCCCACGGACATTTGACAGAGAGAGAGAGGAACGCTGCTGCTTTGAGCTCCGAATAAAACAAAAGGAGAGAGGAAAAAAAAGCACAATCGGTGACTGTTCTATTGGCACGCGGCCGAAACGCTGCTGCCAGCGAAGGCAGCGGAGGAACCCCGAGCGACGCAATCAGCCTTAAGTGCTTACGTTTGCAAGTGATGCAGAATGATCGCATAGGGTCCACGGCCTTACAAGCAATGGGGAAGGCAACGGTGAACACATGACGCCGGTTTCGGACCTTTGTAATCATGGATACGCAGACAAATGGATTTTAATATTTTAGAAGAAAAAAAATGGCGTTCGTTATTGTACAACTCTTGAGTCTTTGAACAAGGGTTCACAACTAATGTCTCCGTGACGTTGGGGAGGTAACATTTCCCCCCCCCCCCGGTTATTTTATTTGATAAGGTATGAGCTCAAACAGAGGTTTGGGCATGCAGCTCCATTGACATGTTGTCTACTTGTCAAAGGCAAAGAGAACAGTTTGGCGTATGCTATGTCACTGTTTCTCGTTTTGCAAGGCAGTGCATGCTAACAAACAAAGATAAAGACCCCCCCCCCCTAGTATAGCCTTAACAGACTGTTGGGCAAGTGCTCTATGCGAGCACCTATGAAGGGCAGCACGGCGCACGAGGGGTGGGTGGCCAGCACCACGCCCGACCGTCTTTGTCTCCCCAGTAGCGATGTTTTTACACATCGTACCAGGTACTCAATTGAGGCTGAATCGACCTAGGGGAGACCCGGGACCGGTTCAGATAATCGTCACCGTTGGTGTTGGCCGTGAGCGAGAATTTAATTTGGGTCGCTGGGTTTGTAGAGCAGTGCGCTAAGCACTATACTACCAAAATACACACACACACCCCGTGATTCACAGCTCCACATTTTTAATTGAGAGGATGTGTCATCAGCACTCAGTATAAACTATCCCTCTAAAGCGGGTTATTTTGCCAGTACGTTTAATGGGCAATTTACTTTTTAATGAGCAGTTATTTTCTCTCTCTCCCTACTTCTCCAGAAAAGGAAATTCTTACACAAAGGAGCTAACGGAAATGCATGCACAGATCATCCATGGTGATGAGCGGAACTGTTTCAGGTTCATCGTAAAGTCTAAAGAAGATCCTTGAGCCCATCACAGACTGACTTTGCATTGACTGTGCACAATGTGCACCCATTGTAAATCCCCGCACGTAAAACTGTGCACGCTTGTAATTTCTCATTTGAAGTTGTTGTTTATAAACTTGCACGCAGAGCAGATGCCAGCAAAAGCGCCATCATCATCAGCAGCCACGATATAATAATGCTGAAAGGCCTTCACCCCCAAAACCACCGCCCTATCTCATGAGAGCTCCAGCACATCGCCTCGTGCCATTGCTCCATCTCCGCAGCGGATGTACTCTATCAGGCGTTATTCCATCCCTTGGCTGCCACTCAGGCATTAGTCTCAACCACCGACTGTGATCCATTCTCGCGATGTGTCCTGCCCAATGCAGCCACCTCTCTTTTCTTCACAGTCAAAGCGATGCCTCTAACTTGCCACTGTTCCTCTTTCTGCCTCTGAGTTTAATTCCGAGAATTCACCTCTCCAAGCATCTTTGGACACTAATCAGGTGTTGTTCCATTTTCTCCATCAATGTTATGGATCCATTTGACGTGGCAGGTAATATGCACTGATGTATAGCCATTGTGGTTCTCTTTGTCTTAGGTCACCATCGAAATGAATTTGAGCAAACGTGAATGACTGACAGACAACAGTGAGACAGACTGTGCACCGGTTTTGTCAATATTAGGACTCATCAGCACAGTACAGTCCATGCTCACTGTTGCAGTGTCTGCCTCTGGAGACCAAGTATCTAGAGATACTACTTCCATGCTCTAGGGCCCATTAGCTTGGCTAATGCCAACAATAATCACGTATGCAAATGGCGAGAACACCCCATCATGAAATAATTATAGAAGGTGTTTTTAAAACTCGGATCGGGGACACAAAGGCATGAATATAAATGGGGAAAACTTTAACAGCCGTCCCGTATTTTTTCACAACGTAGTCATTATAACGTTCAACGGGGACATCTACTAACGCGTTTAGTTACTTACGAAGCCAATCACGAGTGACGGGCGATCGCCCAGAGGACAACCACTGTTGACTTCCCCACGCAATGGTTTTTATTTCATGGATCCTGAAGGGATGATGGGTTGCATCAACCCCCAACCAGGATTTGAACGCGTAACCTTCTGATCGCGAGCCACTGAAAAAACCTTGGGAGAAAATAATAACAGATCAACTACATTGGCGGTAGTGCACGAGCACAAATTAAAACATCGACTCACCTCATAATCGAAGTGTTGGTTTAGATTGTGTCGTTGAACCAGCAACCACCCGACGCAGACAATTCCTAAGGTTTGTATTATAAACAGAACGTACCAATTCGTTACTCGTTCATCACACCAGTGTGTTGTGGGGTTACTCTCCAAATTTACGAGTTAGATCGCGTACATTTATATTTGATTTATATTTACGCGATCTAACTCAACAACCTCTAATATGGATAATATTGTTCGTGAAAGCCTACGTGTTAAACTAACTCACCTCATTCATCATTAAACACTGCCTTTGAGGATTACATAATATATGGTAGAAATCAGTTCACAATGTGTCTTCTGAAGTGATCAGCTGGAATTCCAACTTAGACATCGATTTATAGTTGATACTCAAAATCATATCACTTATAAAGAGAGCCGAGAGGGAGATTCAATGACTCATAGTTGGGAGACAGCTTTACTCACTTGCAGGCAGGCAACGGGAAGGAAGGGGTGAGAAGGATTAGCGGCGGGTGAATGAATGAGTAAAACGAGGCGAGGTGAGACTTGAGAGAGGGGAGAATGAGAAGAGGGCGAGAAACGGCAGGGAAAGGATTAACAAATTCCAAGAGGCGGGAGCGTCACACCTGGGTGAGTGAGAGCCAACGCAGAGCGCCGAGAGAAAGGATCAGTTGAGGACATGAGGATTTAGGAGAGGAGGATGGACGGAGGGGAGGGGGTCAAGAAAGGAGTTGAAAGGTCACCTCGGGCTTTTGTCCGAGAAATTATTTGTATCGAACGTGTCTTTGAAGAGAGCTTCGACGTCCAGTGACTCATAAAAGGACGCCTTGTATGTCCTGCTGTCTGTATTGAGGTCGCATTGTACAGCGGAGTGCAACACAGGGTCCAGTTTCATTAAAGTACAGTATTAGCAGAAGGCAAGACTATATATACATGTAAAAATATATACTAGTCAAACTTAAACTTGCACAGTACATACATTTCAAAGTAAACTGAGACTAACAGGAACGATATGATAATATAGTAAGTTATTTATCCAGAAAAATGTTTCCTGAAGCTTAAGACTTTTTTTTTTAAATCCAAGGATCGTCCTGTCCTTGGATATTTGACCAGGTCCTTTATAGCGATTGCCTTTCACGTGGGAGGACAAGAGAGTGCCTGGAGAAAAACCCAAACTATCCGAGGGGTCAATCCGTAAAGATTCATATTCAAGAAACCATTTGCTTGCGCCACTACCTCGTAGCGACGTTAACATACGTCTTCGTGATGCGCCAAACCTCGCCACTTGAGAGCCGAGGATTCCCTGTCTGCGATGTTCTGTAACCGCCCTCACTGCCGATCGTCTTGAGACGCTCATCCTTTGTGTAACAGCGGAATAGCCCAATGAGCACCACCGGCTGTTATGAAGTCTGCGTCAGTGCATTGCAGGCGTGCAAAGGGGGCGATGGAAGTAACAATAAAGCTCCCGATTCAAACCGAGACTTCTCCGACGTTCAGCGGAATTCATGTAAAGCCAATGCAAGGTTAAGGTGGGATGGAATAACTTCAGGTATGCGAATAGTTACGTCAAGGAACATTTGCACTTTTTATGTTAAGTGTATGGCAGATGGACAATTCGTGTTTCAATCAACGGCTCTATTATACAGCGCATCATTTAGTCCGACGCTACTCATACGCTTGCAAGCGACGTTGATGTCTAATATACGCAAGGCATTGCTGCCCTCGTCTTGAATTAAGTAATCGAGTGGCATGCGCATATCACGCCGCACACTTTGAGGCGCACACGTCGCTGCTAACTTAAGGTCACTCTGAATTGTGTGCCCGTGCATCATCTCGTTCAAGAATAAACTTGCGTAGAGAATATGGCGCAGCTTTCCGTGATAATACTGTTGACCTTTGGCAAGATATGATAGCGTGGCTGTGGCAAGGGTCACATTGCAGTCGCTTTAACAGGGTGTTACTGTCCGTTTAGCATTTCGTGCGAGTTTACAAACCGCCTGCAATGTTGAAGCAACACGGTTGTGCACAAACTGCGTGGGCGTTCATATGTTGAACACCTCTCGATTCATCCCAGCACGTGCAGAGAAATGGCAGGGCATGGTGCCAAACAACCATTCGTGGTACAACCAGAACACACATCAGAGCTGCACACAGCGAGCAGCACATTCGTGAAAGCCTACGCAGTACTTTCAAAATCTGCGACACGCAAATTAGGTGGAGTTACTGTTTTAAATGACGTAATAAACAACGCATATAATCTGAACAACCAACCGTGTAGAATCATTAACCGAGCTTGATTCTTGGCGACATTTGAACGCACATAGTCCAGCAAAATAAAAATATGTATGCAGTGAAAAATATGCTAATGTTACGGTGTGTAACATTGGCATATCAAATTAGCATTGTGGAATTGGTACACCATCTACCCTTTACAGCCACGAGGCAGTGGAGGGAATTCTGCAATCCTATGGCAGTGGGGAGTCACTCCGTAGGACAACCACTGATTGCTCACCAACAAAGTGGTACTCCTTTTATTAACCCTGGAGAGATGATGGACGGAGTCTACCCCTAACCAGGGTGTGACCTTTTAACCTTTTGATTGCGAGCAGCTCGTTCTATCCATGAGGTACCTCCTATATATATATAAAAAAAAGTTTACGTGACAAATTCTAGAATAGCGAAAGATAATTTAAAGACTGAAATTGATGATGATGATGATGACATGCCAATTGTACAACTTACATTTATAAAATGTACCAACAACATTCACGTTTAAGTATTATTTAAAGGGCACTCACATACTTAACATATCTTAATCCATGTAATGTGTTCGGTGTTACATGCTAACCAACTTGCAATTGTGTTGTGGTTGTATATTGACACGTTTCAATCCATTATCTATGTAAACTAAATATGGTATACAGATTGACGTGGGTTTTTTTTTAGGATGCAGAACAATTTCAGTTTAGACAATTATGTATTTAAAAAAAATACATCACCGAATGAGCTATTCTGGTATAAAAGCTGCATCTTCGAGTTTCGAGTGTGTCTTGTTTCACCAGTTGAGGACTCAAGAGACCACGATGAGTCTGATTTGCAAGAGTGCCCTGAGACATTGATAGACTTAAGTTAAAAATTTATTTTCTTTAGGTTGAAAACTGAGAACTGCTTCTCCTGGTCAGTTTGCGTTGTCATTCCCCCCGCACCTCCGATTAGCACGGCTAGCCACGTACAGTGCGAAAGAAGTTCAACATACGTACAGAAGGGGGCGATGCTTGCTATATAACATCCCAAATGGGTCCTGACGTTGGCACACAGTGGGCCTCCTCTTGCGAA